TGTTCAGCATCTTAGCTGCGGAGGGCAGTGTCACTGGCCCTCATATGTGGGATCCGAACCGGGGCCCTCTGGCGTCCCAAGCCAGTTCTTAACCAACGCGCCACTCAGCCGGCCCTATTTTTGTGTACGTTTAAACGTGTATTTGTAGAATTAATTGCCTGAAGTGAAACTGACGTACAAAAACACATTTACAATTTTTGAATGATATTGCCACATTAGTGATACAACGAAAGAGGTTGCACCAACTTACATTTCATTGATAGTTTTTGAAAGACAGGGAATTTGTAAAGGGCTGAGATGAATTCTGTGTGTGACATATCTGTCTGCCATTCCATCTCTTTAAACTTGGTTAAACATAGTTCGAGGCAGCTGGGATGGATAGGAATGACCTAGCAGAGAGAGAGAATCTTCCATTGGCTTACGTGCTAGTACAGCAGTGATGGCTGCGGAGGAGGCAGCCCTGGGATGGCAAGGGAGAGAGCTGGGAAGTATGGCTGCCATGAGTTTAGGACCCGGTCTGAGTTTTCCCCAAGGCTCCTTGCTAGCAGCTTTGTTGACAAGTGTGGGGTTGCAGAGTGGAGTTGGGAGCCATTCACACAATCATAATAATGGAGGTGAAAGTGAACTCAAACCATGTTACACATGTACACTTGCACGCACACTCCCACAATCTCCCTGTCTGTTCAGATCCTCATCCAGGTGTGCATTTACCTTTACTCCCTGTCTTGGGCTGGGCTTCCGAGCAAGTGCTGTTCCCAGTCTCTTGTGGCCAATCTTCATTCAGCAGGAGTGTCCCAGGCTTCCTCTCTATTTTACCATTCAGCTCCTCTGTGTGTGAATAACCCAGAAAATTTACATGACATTATCCCAGTCTCTGGATTTGAAGAGACATCCTCATCCTTGAAACTTCCACTCATTATTCAATATTTTCATTTGGCCTGGCGTTTTATGAGTCCCATTTTCATCCTTAAATAGAAACTCAGAAGTGCCTCTTAATCTACACCCTAGATCTCAGCCTTTTAAGTTGAGGGGTTACTTTAACGTTCTCAAGGTTATGGTTACACAGAGAAGTTTATTTTGTATTCAGCATTAACATGCTAGGTACCATGGTAGGGCTGTGGATGCAATGATGAATGAGACACAATTCATGCCTTTTTGAAGCTCATAAAATAGCGAGGAGACAGTCAGCACTAGCTAAAATACAGGCCACTCGTTGATAAGTGTTAAAACAAGGATATTTAATCAAAATTCTGTGATGTCCCACTTCTGGAAATGTATCCCACAGATATACTCATGCATGTACAAAAGGACACACAGACCAGCGTCCGCAGCAGCACTGTTTGTGATGGCAAGAGTTAAGGAATATCCCGAGCGTCTGTGACAAGGACACTACATGTTTTCATAAATGCTCTCTATGTTCTGATATGGAGTGATTGCCAGGCTATAGTTTTCAACGAAAAAACAAACAAAAAAATTGCAGAACATGTATAGTATATGTTGCCTTTTGCATAAGGAATGTAAAAAAACAAGAATATGAATTGACATTCGCTTGTATGTGCATAAAAACATTGAAAGCCCTCATAAGAAACCAATGCAAGTGCTAACCTATGGGGGCATCAGGGATTAGTGAGGTAGATGGGAAAATGGGGTGAAACACACCCTCTCAATGTATACCTTTTTATTTCATTTTAACTTTTGAACCATGTGAATTTATTTATCATCTATTCAACAAATTATATTAAATTAATTTAAATTATAAAATAACCCGCACCCCCACCCCTCCCCAAAGCTTTGCATTCTTTGAGGTATTTGCAAGTGCTTAGCTACATTTCCTTGCAATAAAGAACATAACATTGGACTGGGTGAGGAGGCTCTGGACAGGAGAGAGAAGCCTTCTTAGAGACTGGATCTTTCTTACCACATCCTTGATCCACTAGCTCATGGAAATGAGTTTGAGCAGAGCCAGGAGGAAGAACACTGTCCTCCACAAAGTTCTCAGAGATGGAATTTCTCATAAACAGGACATATGTAAGACATGGGAGTAATTTTAGGAGTAGGTTTCATTCTTCAAACTTCCTACAGGCAAAGCTGTTCAGAGCGGCCACCTCGGGTTTCTCGTGATGGCTTTCTAGGAAAGGCATGATGGGCCTGTTACCTTGAGTTGCCCGCTTAAGTCCTGAAATAGAGCAATGTGAAAAATTTCTTCTTTAAACTTTAAATAAAAAAGGTCTTAGACTGAGTTACAAATAAGAGACATTAGCTGTCTTGCCACAGAAATGCTCCTTTTCTTCAACAAGGATTTGGTTCCATACATTTCCCAGAATACCACATTAAGGTGATTTCGGGAAAGAGAGTGGGATAGAATTCAATCTTGAGACGTCTCTGGTGACTTCCATGAACTGAGTTTATGAGGTTATGAAACAAAGAGGTAGAGAATAGATAGCTTGTGAGATAAAATATTGATGATGATTTCATGATTACAAAAGGTAATGTCAGGAGATTGTTGAAAAGTGATACGATCATCACACAAGCCACACAGGGACAGGAAAGGCCCCTGGTGGGTGAGGGGCGATTTTACTTCCCTGTACATTTCTGCCCTGAATCCCCTCATCTCCTGCTACCACTGCTGCTGTTACTACTGCCCCTGCCTTTTCAGCTCATTTTAGCTATTTTTGTCCATAAGACTACACCCCAGTGATAAGCCCTGGATACCCAGGAAGCTAGGGGCAAGTGGGGGAAACATAGAGGTTCGTGAGCCTGTAGGCAGGTGACTCACCACCTTCCATTCACCACTTTTCTTAATTGCTACCCCCTCCCACCGCCCCCAATATGATTTAGTCTCTTAGCTAGTCTCAAATTAGCTCTGTGGAAAAGGGTTTGAAAAATCCTGGTGATTTAGAAACAAGACTTCTTGATATGATGAAGTGACTGTATAACTTACCTAGCCTAAACCTAGTATCAGTTTCTTTTTTGAAGTGCTAGTGAGTCATTATTTTTATGCGATTACCACACAAATTTGAACATGTTCAGCGAGCTATTGCCAGCAATCAGGGCCACTTGTTACATAACATCAGTAAGAGGGACTAAGGTGAGAAACAACTCTGATTATAGGTATTTAGCCCAAATGTACATCAGTTGTAACTCCTTAAATGTATTTCTTTTAGCAGCTAATTGAAATACTTTATCAGTGAAAGTCTTGACACAACAGTTATACAAACACATAAGAGAACATGGGGAAATTAAATAAGACTTATAATATACACCTTAAAAAAAACGATGGCTTAATTTGTACTCCCTTTGTAATTTTAGCTAAATATTGTGGTGAGTAGTTCTTATTTTAAATCCCAAGTATATGGGCATTTATTTCACACAATATGAAAATACTTTAGAAGGCTTGTGATTAACGTCGTGGTATTCAGGCACAGTTTATAGAGAATTTCAATCAAAGACAAAAGGTCCAAGTGGATGATGAAACTCATGAAAAAGATATGAACGTGTACAACCAAGGATTTAATTTAGACTTGCTCATATCAGCTCGTTTCCAGCTCTTGGCTTATCAGGAATGTCCCCAAATCGGCATTCTTTGCCCCTAGCCCACGGCTGCCCCATGGATTAGCCTCTAGGGTTCCCAGATAAAATACAGGATGCCCTGTTAAATGTAATCTCAGATAAACAATGAAAATTTTTTACTATAAATATATCTTAAATATTGCATATGACATACTTCGGCAGACATGTCCTAGCTCTTGTGTGCTTGCTCTCTGAGGTGAGATGCCTCCCAGGTTTGAAACTCCCAAGTCCAGAAT